AACATAATGCTCGAAGAGGAGAGATACTCCTCATCACCCAACCACCCAATCACTTGCAACCACCCAACCTTTGTGAGCAAATATCAGGGCATATAGGCCTGGTGTGCAGCTGAGCCAGAGGAGCCCAAAGCACCTTCTGGAAGGAAACAAAAAATTAAATTAAATTAAATTAAATTAAATTGAAAAACAGGAGAGAGACCCAGAGTTTACAATGTACGATCCAAAGTGGATCATCCATCATACAAGTTCAGGATGGCAGCTGTGTCCTGCCCACCTGACAAGTTGCTAAATTTACCAAAAATCAAGGCCCAAGCACTGCCCCCTGGCCTGTTTCTCCTCCTCCCACACCACATCAACAGTTTTGAGTCTTGAGCCTTCCTTTTCCCCATCTGCCCCCTGCTGGAAGTTCCAGGCCGGCTAGGAGACCTAGTCTAACAAACTGAGGTTTGGTTGGGTGGAAGTGGAGGTGGGCAACAATGGAGCCCTTTCCCGTGGTGGTGACAAAACCTCCCCACCAGCACCAGCCCCACCAGAGAGGTGCCACATCCGTAACAAATCCATCTGGGCCTCAGCTTTCTTCTTACGAGATTTGATTACTAATTCCACTCTGTATTGTTGGTGGTCTGATCAAGCTGTCTGTTCTGTACTGGCTTATTCTTGGAAGGTTGTATGCCTCTGAAACTGTGTCTATTTTTGTCTTTCCTGTCTAGTTTGTTTGCATATAGACATTCATGTTAGTCTCATATGATTGTACTGAAATACAGGTAGTCTCTGTATTTCTGCAATATCCTGTGATTCCAGTCTGTCATTTCTGACTCTTTTTATTAGAGTTTTCTCTTACTGAGTTGAGCACAGGGTTTTCAATTTGTTTATTATTTTTTTAAAGATTTATTTATTTATGCGTACAGAAGTGGGGTACAGGCCAGAGGTGCAGGGGCAGTGAGAGGACTCACCAGAGACAGAGTGGGGAGCAGAATAGGCAGATGTTCTGAAATACACTGCTGTATTTCACTGAGTGGTCGGTGGTGGTGGTGGGGGGGAGTCAGGAGAGGTCTGCTGCACCTCCGGGGTGGGGATCGAATTCACGCTAAAGTGGCTTTAGCTTCTTAGTGCTGTGCTTTAACCCGCTGTGCACCAGGAAGGGCCAATTTGTTTATCTTTTAAACAAACAAACAAACAAGCACACAAACAAAAAACAGCTCTTGATTTCATTGATCTCTTGTATCACTTTTTGTTTCTATTTCACTTATTTCTATTCTGTATTTACTTTTTCCTTCTTTCTACTAACTTTTGTTTTCTTTTCTTTTTTTCTGGTTCCTTCAATATAAGGATAGATTATCTATTTGAGATTTTTCTTATACCTTGTGAGTCTGTATTGCTGTGAACCACCCTGCAATGTCACTGCATCCAGCAGGTTCTCATAGCTGCTTTCTGCTCTTTCATTGGCTGCTAGTTATCCTTTGCCTTGACCCAAGAGTTACTCTAAAGTGTTACTTTTTGTTGCCACATATTTGAATCTTTTATGGTTTTCTTTTTGTAGTTGATTTCTAGGCTCAGAAAAGATGCTTGATATGATTTTCATCTTCCATTAGTGAGCGTTGTTTTATATCCCTAAATGGGAACTATCCTCGAGGATGCTACATGTTCATTACATATTCATTTCTATTATTTCATCTAAAGTTATTTCTTTATTGCTTTCAGGTCACCTGAACTCCCCTGCCTTGCTCTACCAGGAGATGGACACTCGGGGCCCACAGGTGAACCTTGGACAGAAGCACAGCTGGCCCTGGGGGCGGAGTCCAGATGCTGAGCAGCAGCTCTGGGCTGAGGTGTAGCCAGGCTGATTCCCAGGCTCTGGCCAGTGTGTGAGGACAGGAGCACTGGGAGGGAAGGGCAGGACATGTGTGCTAAGAGCTGAAACCTGACCCCTTCATGCTGGTCAACATTTCTCTTCCAACATTTGCTTGTGAAATCCCCCTCCTTGGGGCACTTATACATAAATGAGGGAAAAGTAATTCAGCCAGATCAAGTTAGGGCCGATGGCGCTGCCCTTTCTTGGGCTGTCCTTTGGGCGAGTTTCTTTCTGGTCCTCAGATTCTTCATCTACAAACTGACCATAACAGCTGCCGTCCACCGTGTTGGTTCCCAAAGCAGCAGCAGCGTTTCCTCAGGGGAGTCACCCTGACCCACACTCTCGCCCTTGTTAGCCCTCTCATGGCCTGGATGCCCCTTCCTCCTGGCAGGCTTTCAGTCTTTAATTGTAAATTAGATTTATGGTTATTTTGTTAACATGTATTTTCCCCAATAGGCTTTAACTTCCATGAAAGCACAGACCCCTAATTTGTCCTGAAATGGATAACACCCACACACTGTTTGATACACAGTCATGACTGCGAATAAATGATGATATGACATATATAGAGCTGTGTAGGGGGGGAGGGAAAGGGTCAGGGACACCTCAAAGGGGAGACACAGGAATGCCTCAAAGGGGAGCCCACATGACCTCACCCTGGCCCTGCCCTGGCAGATCCGGTCACCTCTGGGAGACCCAGGAGCCTGGGCGCTGTGGGTGTGAGGGGGTCCTCAGGTGTGCGCCAGAGCAGAGACGCCA